TCTGAAAATTGTGATTGAAATTTCAGTTGAAGTTGTTGTTGTACGGGCCATATTCAACTTCGAATATCTTGATAACAACTAAAGCATAGTAATGCCGTGAAACTTCATATGAAAATGTTTTTGGAGTGATTTAGCACACATTAGGACTAGTGAGATATTTGAAGAAATAAAAATTCTGGTTAACGTCATTTGAAAACCAAGAATATATGGCTTAGAATTGCTACAATATGAGAGCGTATCTATCTATTATTAATGTTTTCAAATAAATAAATTTTATATAGACAACTAATTGCAAGAGCACTATTTTTCGGCATTTTTAAGACAATGTCTTGGCAAAAATACTTTTCCATTGGATGATTTTACAAGYGGAATGTTTATTTTCATTTTGTACTTCACAACATATTTTGCAATTAARTTAATTGTTTTCGTGTTATGAATTAGGGGCGTGTGGGCAAACATTTTCGCCGAACTTTGATGAAAATATTCTGACTATAGAGAACACTTAAGCTCAAGAAAGTTTTTGCGCCAAACTCCAGTGCATCTTGAGCTAGTTTCACCATCATTGGTTGTTGTCAGTCAATTACATGAAGAGTTAAGAAGAAAAAGAAGAAAACGCCTTGGTTATTAATAAATCATATTTCATATATGGACTGATTGAAATTGGKTTTTGAGTGAATCTATCAAAAACTTGGCTCTCATACATTATGGAAATATATATGACTCTAATGAAGTCAACAAAAGACAGCGCAAGCGCACATGTACTGCGCACATGTAGCCCCGTTAACGCCCTTAATTTTATAAACCTTTTAGTTTGCTAAAATAATAATAAACCACAGTTTGAGTCACAAATTTCGCGACAACTTTTATCTGAAATTATATAAGGAGGCTTTCTTTTCTTATTCGTATCGTTACATCTTTTCGAAAAAGAATTCAGCGTCTTTTATCGAATCTCTCAAGTTAGATTTACGTTAACRCTAGCTGCCGGCTGATATATGACTTTCCCTCATAAAATGTTGGCGTCTTCCTTACTTTGTATGACATGCGGACACTGTAGCTAATATTTTAAGTGAATGTCGTTGATTTAGAGCGAGAAATTAGTAACTAGTAAATAAATAGAATATAAAGATCTAACTCACCACAGGCCGACTGCAAGCTACAGCTGGGAAAGATTGTTACTTTTGTACGTCGTTGAGTACACTASAGCAATTCAAAACAACTGACCACAAKCGTGKYRAGTTATAGAAGGTTGAGAAATTGCAATTTKATTAAAAATAAATGAATTGTAAGAGAAATAATAATAGTTACAAGTCTATACTTTCAATTTRTGGATGGCACTTGATTTGATTGGTTTTAACACATTTAAAATAATTGACAGAGAGAGGGGACTTAGATATCAGACGTCATTAAAACCAAACTTGCCGAGATTGTCACTCTTACGTAGGTACTCATGTCAACCTAGAGGATTCTTGTACAGTTTTGTGTTAAGTAAATAACAAATCAATCACTTTCAAGACTGCAGACAGAATAACAAAGGGTTTAAAATGTTTATTAAAAGCGTAAACCAGTGTTTGCACTGMAATAACGTGTTGAAACCCCTTTTTGCCAATTTTATTTAATAACTTGTAAAAAGCATATATTTTAACTAGATTTTATCGATATTACTTAGATTGCTTTTCGCGGTTTATCTTCGTTATTTTTTATGYAATATTTTCTCATGTCTATATTTATTGTRTGTTTCTATTTTATATATATTTTAATTCATTTTATATTTACGTTATCATATTATTACTAACCATATTGGACAGGGACCGCGGAGCGGGAATTTRTTTGGGGACTAGCCGCTGCAAAGGCAGGAGGTACTACCCACYGGAAAATTTTGAAATCTTAACTCTCGGAAATGTCATTTCCAGCGTTTTGAAGCATTATCCCAGACATATTTCTGATCGCTAAAACCGCACACACGGTCAMACGATATTCAAAAAAATCCCAAAGACTTCGCAAAAAGGTTCAATTTTAATTTTTCATGCTTAGTTTTTACACAATCTTAATACAATGAAAAGTGAAATTTCATAATGAGGCTCTGGGCTTTTTTTTAAGAAAATTCAAAATGGCGGAAAAATTATTGGGGGAGGGGGGGCTATCCCCCCCTGCTCCGCGGTCCCTGTTGGAGACTCTCAGGCAGGAGCACATTGCATAACTCCAATATTTTTCCCAATTATATTTAATAACTTGTAAAAAGCATATATTTTAACTAGATTTTATCGATATTATTTAGACTGCTTTTCGTTTAYCTTCGTTAATAAAATGCAATATTTTCTCATGTCTATATTTATTCAGGTATGTTTCTATTTTATATATATTTTACTTTATTTCATATTTATGTTATCATATTATTACTAACCATATTGGAACAGAGGCAGGAGTACATTGCATGACTCTCGTTTGATTTATTCGTTATTACACTTATAGCCCTTGCGTATCGAGATAAAAGTTTAGAATACGGTTTTTGACCTTGAACAAAGGTCTTGGTCAAAAGTCGAACTTGGTTTTTGGCGCAAAGTKCGAGCACTAAAAGCATGAAAAGGGCACTAGAGTCCTTTTAGTTAAAGCGTAAAACATAAAACATTAATTACTAAATTGTGTAAGCTACTGCTAGTTGAACAAAAAAAAATAGTACCAAATATTGACAAGTAACGCTGATTCGTCCTTGGCGTGTTTCTCTTTTCTCTTTGCGCGCATTGCATCAACGGGAGAAGGACAAAAATGAGTCTAGCTTCTTTCCTCCTTCCCTTGATGCATCGCGCACTCGAGGGGGATGACTGGGGACGAGTCAGTATAAATAGGGCGTAATAACACGTGTTTAAARTCGTATACGTTATTTGAGGGACTCGTAATTTGTTGTCTATGGTAGTTTCTTCAAATGTTTGTTTCTTTAGGTGACCGTAAAGCTACAATCCTTAACATTTCACTCGAGACATTGAAACGCGTAACTGTAACAGAGTTAACATTTCACTGTACCCTCCCCTCCCTGTACAATGTAATGCGTCTATTTTAATTTTTTATTGCCGGCTTCAGAAAGATGACATAGGGTACTTTCCATTTATGCAGAATTGGCCGGCCAGTCCGCTCTATTTAGAGGTATATAATGCTTTTTTTCGACATTTTTCAGTCATTTCGAGGTTTTCTTTAGAATAATGGAGAGAATTTGAAAATTTGAATTTCCAAACTAACTAGGAATGATATATAATTAATGACATTTTCTCTGGGTCTGGCCAGCCAGTTCTGATAAATGGAAAGCGCCCAGGTGTGCAACAACAATACTGACCGTCTGACCGAAGGAGGGGGGAGGGGGGAGGGGAGAGGAGTGTGGGGGAGGGGGAGGGAGTGTAAAGGGACCTGACAAGTATACAAATGAACATGATGTTTTAGTAAATGTTTATCATGTCCAAATAGCCGACCTTGCGAATTACGCATCAATAGTCACATACAAAGGAATCAAGACGAGGCGCCGTGCTAAAGACAATAGATTTTTCACAAAAAAGCACGGCGCCTCGTCTTGATTCCTTTGTATGTGACTATTGATGCGTAATTCGTAAGTCGGCTATTCATATAGTCCACTGGTAGTAATTTCCATGACAATTTAAAAACCTCAAAAGGCCGATTTAGACGACACAACTTTTGCTTACAACCATCGCATGCAACCTGCATAAGTCATCCTTACAACATGGCTACAACTGTCGTGAGTCTATTAAGCAATTGTTTAAAATCCCTACGACAGTTGTTGAGCCATGTCGTAAGCACGACTTACGCAGGTTGCATGCGATGGTTGTAGGCAAAAGTTGTGTCGTCTAAATCGGCCTAAAGAAAGAAAAGTATGAGAACCATCTTGGCGTCGCTTTTGAATAAGATTATAAGTTCCAATCGATTAAGAAAAGATGTGATTTCGACAACGATAGCGTAGAAGATAAAAACGATACCCGCATAAAATAAAACACTTGATAAATGCAAAATGTAGCAACGCATATCATTATCGAATAACGCGTGAACYTTGTATTCAGATAATTACGAGCCACAGCCGAATTATTTTATGAAATGAAATGTTATAACACATGAATATAACATAAATGATACTTCTATAACTGACAAATAACAACAGATATTCAAGTGCATGAAAAATAAAAAAACGAGCATATGAGTCCTCAAACTACGATACCACCGCTAGAGATTTAAAAAAAAATCTAAAAAATGCTTAAACATGTAAGATAGGAAGGAGGACTTCCAGAGATATTTTATGTCATTTCTCGGTTCGTATTTCTATATTCATAACATTCCCTTTAGTGTCGTTACCAAGCCCTGTGTAGAACGTAGCTTATCTAGAAAGCTATTCTCTAGTTGTAGCACTGAGAACGCGCGTTAAWCGATGAAATAAAGTTCACTATCTGGACCAATCAGATTGCACTAAATCAATATCAAAAGACCACTTTATATTGTTAAAAATTATCATCGTTGATTTTTTTAAGCTAAACTTTTCGTTCATAAAATGAAGTTAACATAAAATAATTGAAAAGAATTTGAGACGATGGTTCTATTAAGTTTGATGAAGCGGTGAATTTGGAAACGTGTCGTTCTTCTCGTCACCAACTAAACGAATACTAAGCAGCTATCGATTGGTTTAAAAAACGCAATAAAAATCATAATAATAAACAAACAGTATMAAAATAATCAAGAACAAAGAAAAAAAAACAGGTCAAAACGCMAAAAAAATACCTTYAYCCCATATATGGTCATATGTTTAAAATTCACATTTTTTCTGCYCGAGAGGKTAATARYGTTATATTTTGTAAATACRAGCYGAAYTAACCAATTACGAACRGCAATAGCGTGTTARTTACTGTTAATGTGGGTGAACTAGGAAAATATTTAGTGAAGCAARCAGGTTGTTTTTATAGGATGCAGTAATGTGTACATTATAAGAACTTGATAAATTATTAATAGCAGGCAAAGAATAAAGGTTGATTTAAAAACTATCCATTCTTAGGAAGTTAGAGAAGAGGGCATAACGTTTTAATAGGTAAGTCGAATTTGTACAAGTGCTACGACGAATTCCCTTCACTAAGGCCTTCATATTTGCTGCCAAAAGTTCCCAGTAGTGCATCTCGCCYTTCTAATCTAAAGCAATTATTTTATAAATTCTTATAGAAGGAAATTCARTGGATTTTGATATTTTTAGTTAAGATATGATTTCAAACATCAGAGAAGAGAAGTGATGTGGTGATTATACTAATCAGCATTCTTCCATTTGAAAAAGTTTAAGATTTCAACTGTTTTTTGTTAAAAATGGGATGAAAGGTTTTCAAGTTTTGCCTATAATGGCTAGAATCATAAAACGATAATGAAGTTATCGCTCTTTATAAAGAAATATAAAATTGCATTAACATATAAAATTGATATATAATGTTCCACGCTAATTAATTGCATATCTTTGAAGAAAAAAAGGTTAAAGCGTTTAAAATTAGATAACCTGTGACTAGAATTTACCCAAACTTATGTACTTCATCAATGAGACCAAGTAGGTTTTTTTATCTTTCGTGAAATAGTAATTAACGACCTTGATTCGTGTCTTTAAGTGCATTGTAGCCCTATATAGAATATCAAACAGTAACCTATATAACAAATTTATCTAGTGAAAAGCGCGCGCCCTGATTGGCTAAAGGTGACGAATTCGTGACGAATAGTTTTTCTCGTATATTCAATGTGGAATTCCACTCGTCATCCAGTGAATTTTTCTAGATTTTTTTTTAAGAAGTCTAGATTCCTGTATTTTTCTCGTATGTAATTCTATCTTCGTTTACTTAATTCCATCAAAATTTTGGTTCAATACCTCTAACTTTCACAGAAATATTATTTCTAGTTTAAGGTATATAAAATCGTAGGGAAAAGAAGCGGCTTATCATAAAAGTGGTTTTATAAGCGCTTTTTTTATATTTGGTGTTTTTGTAGGTGTATCATAAGCTATTTTTGTAAGCCTGCATTTTGGCTTTTTTTTCTTTTTCTT